TACATGTACTTAAAATCACATATGTGTGTATCAGTGAAACCCCTATAATTATTTGATATATGTTCCTCTGGATGTTTCTGTTCATATATATGTATTTATAAACACACATACAAACACACACACATAAAATGTTTACTTGAAACAAAATGGGATCATACTATAAACAACACTTTACAATATATTATGTTCTCAAGTAACTTTTTGCCAAAGAATGGTTTAAAGCTACCATATAAATTTGGTACTAGCTAAAGCTGAATTTAGCTTCAAATGGCAAGTAGGTCATTTACAAAAGAAATGCAATTTTTGTATGAAAATCCTAATGATCATCATAGGAGAAGAGAATAAAAAGATGTCTATTATTCCCTTCTTAACTCCTCAACATCTCCAGGATTCTACCAGAACCCTACCCGAGGGTGACCCATAGCCTCTTCTTGTCATCAGCCTTTTCAGTTGCTCTGGGCCACGGGGACTACTCGGCCTCCAGATTCTCTTCCTCTGGCTTCTGGAGCATTGAATGTGCTGCCAGCCCTCGCAGTTCACTGCCTGCTCAGCCTCTGGGCACCCTTCCTCCTTTGCCTTTGTTATTAGTAGTCAGTCTCCCTCCACCTACCTACCTCTCTCCCATCCTCCCTGTGTTCACTTCTCTCTCTGATTGCGAAGAAATGGGGCCTTCTGAGTTGGGGAGCCCAGTGTCACTCCTGGTCCAGGGCTGACAGCCCAATCCCTCCTTCTTTTCCTTTTCCCTCAAGACCCAGGCTGCTGCCATCTGCTCTCCCCTGTCCCTGTCCCCCAGTTTCCTCCCAGAACCCCTTTCTCCCTAGCCTCACTGGGGAACAAGATGTAGGACCCTATCTCTCCCCTCCTGATGCCTCTGAAATAACTACACAAAATCTCCGAGTTTTCCCGGAGCTTTCCAGCTGGCAAACCAGCCAGTCAAGGAAGTGAGCAATAATAAACAAGGATAAACCAGTTCTCTCTCTTAGCGACCCCTCCTTGGGCTTCCGAGGCGGTATCTCTATGGAAATAGATTGCCCAACCTTCCTTCTGAGGAGTGGCTGGTGGGTTTGAACCACCAGTGTTCTAGTTAGCAGGCAAATAAATGCCTTAGGCACTATGCCACCAGAGCTCCTATAAACAAGGTTGGTATTATGAAATTAAAAGAAAAAAACAGCAAGACTAACAATGGCTGTCCCTGTTCTCTTGAACTTTATTTTCCTGGCTTCCTGGGATGGCCAGTCACTTTTTCCTCCCCCAGGACTCAGCCTCCCTTGCTCTGAGTGTCCCAAGAAGTACGTGAGACAGCCCTTAGGAGAGCTGGCTTGCAGGATGCTGGGTCTAGGGAGAATCTTGGTTCCTTCCAGAATAATACTGTGAGTATCCTGCAGACAGTTTGCCCAGCATTTCCAGATCCATACACTTTAGCTCTCTAGTGCTGCTGTAACAGAAATACTACAAGTGGATGGCTTTAACAGAAATTTGTTTTCCCATAGTTTAGGAGGCTAGAAGTCTGAATTCAGGCTCTGGTCTCTAAGGGAAGACTTTCTTTCTCTGTCAACTCTGGGAAAATGCCCTTGCCTCCTTTCAACATCTGTGGGCCTGGTAATCTCCGTGTGTCTTGATATTAGTCTTCCAGGGGTCTGGGAGATTCTCAGCGCAGGGACCTTGGGTCCAAGGGACACGCTCCACTCCTTCTCTCTCACTCTCTCCTTCTCTGCTCACTTTTCTCTCCTTTCATCTCTTGTAAGATAAAAGGCAATGCAGGCCATACCCCAGAGAAACTCCCCTTACTTTGGATCAGGGTTGTGACCTGAGTAAGGGTATTGGATCCCACCTAATCCCCTTACAACTGATTGGCTGATCACACCAGATGATATCATGATAGATGATTATATCTTTATATAACTGTCAAATCCCTGAGAATCACAGCCCAGATAAGTAGACACATACTTGGGGTGGGGGAGGGGGGACACCTAAATCAACCCATAACAACACACTCCTCCTTTGATTTTCGCAGCAGCCCGGGAATTGGTTATTATTACTCCACTTAAGATACACAGAAACCCATTTCATGCATCTTCCTGGAACATGGCTGCTACCCCATGGTAATTTACATAAGCATTTTTCGATGTCATTTTTAGATGCAATATGAGACTTCAAAGCCATCTCAGCTTGCGGTGGCCTGCCCTGAGCTTTTGCCTGGGACTTCCTGGGAATGCATCTATTCCTCTCTTCCAGGACTGAGATGGCATCAGACAAACCTGAAGAACACAGACATCCAATGGAACTTCTCAGCCAGCTTTCCTGGCAGCCCATCATCAGGCACCTGCTGTGTGTTTCTCAAATGCAAATATGCACATAAACCACCCGGGGATTCTGTTGATGAGAGGATCCTGGTTCAGTGGAACTGGGGAGGGCCCAGGAGTCCACATTTCTAACAAGCTTCAAGGCACTGCCCATGGAACATAGCTGAGTAGCAAAGGCTATAGACTAGCTAACCTTCCTTCCACTATTTACCACACTCCCACCTCCACCCCCCACCTCTCTGCATTTGGGCTGGAAAGAACTAGGCTTTGGAGTCCAGCCCTGGGTCCAAGTTTCTTTATCTGTAAAATGGGGATGACGATAATACCTGTCTGGGTGGATCTTTCTTTCGAATGTGGCCTGGATTTAAAAGACTTTAAATCATTGTAGTCCCTTCTCCAGAATCTACCCCATCCCCACTCTAGCCTCCACCCCAGTCCTCTCTGAGGCTCCGTCCCCAATGTCACCATGAAACCTTTCCTTGCCATTCTCACCCCCACTCACTTCTGCTTATTCTGAAACCCTGCAATCAGTATTAAATGATATACAATATAGTACAAAATAGTATGTAATTAAATGTTAAGTTGTTAGCATTTAACTACATATATTGCTCACTAATTATCTGGGGATTTGGAGACCTTCAGGTGAGCCCAGGATTCTGCCACTTCTTCCTCTGAGCCTCAGTTTCCTTGTCTGCATGGAGTACTAGTAAGGTCTACTTCCCAGGGCTACTGTAAGGACTGTGTATCAACTTGGCTGGGCCTGGTTGAGTGGCTGGGCAGCTGGATGTAGCTATCCCCCATGGTAAGATTGGTAATCAACTCCATGGTGGAATCTACTGGAGCAGCTGAGTAGCTGCCTTAGGGATGTGGTCTGCTTCCAGTATGTAAGAAGCAGCATCGAGAAAGGTCTCTGGAGCTTTTGGGGCACGCTTGGACCTTGCACAAAGCTGAGTCTTCATCTCAATGGCCTGCCATGTTGTCTGCCAATTTCGGGACTTAATGGACTTGAATTAGTGTCTTGCCATATTGCTTGATACTCTTGGGACTGTGCCACTTTACTTGTCGACCTTGGGTTTGTCAGCCTCAGCAGCCACCAGCTGTCTGAGTGAAGAGAAGCCTCCAGCTTCAGTGGGCCGGGCGCAAGAGGTGGAGCCGACACCCAAGGTCAAGGGGCCTTCACCCAGCCCCTAGAGCTGGCACTTTGAATTCAGACTTCTAGCCTCCTAAACTGTAAGAGAATAAATCCCTGTTTGTTCAAGCCACTCATTTGTGGCATTTTCTGTTACAGCAGCATAGAGAACCAAAACAAGGATCAACTAGGATAAAACTGAAAGTGAATTAGGATCTTTTTCTTTCTTGTTTTCTTATAGACTCCCAGTCAGATTACAATCTCCTAGCTCTAAGAACTGATATTTGGGGCTGTGTCAGGAAGCAGAAGGAACACTGCACCGGGAGCTAGGAATCCTGGGCTGGGCTCTGGTCC